TATATGTAAATCAAATCTCAGAGACGTCTGTAGATAATGAATAGAAGTCTCTCACGGCTCGGCCGCTGACAATAGCCTGATTTTCCTCCCTCGCTGTAACGCCTGGCACAGGACCGGTGTATGTGGTGAAGTTTGACTCACATCGTGATGTGGAGTCCTCGGAGCAGGACAGTGAGATGGACGGACACTTCAGTGACTCACTCGTGTGTCTTTAACAGTTTATGGAAACAATGCAGGTCTACGCTCAGAGGAACGAGAGGAATCAGGTTTTTAATGCACAGTATTTGTTAGCGGAACATATTCGCTGTTGGTTCTACTACACGTCTGATTTGTTAAAAATATATAGAACCTTCTTCAAGATGGATGAACAACAGCAAATATGTCACACAAATAAAATGTACAATTGCCTTTTTATTGTTATTATCAACCATTTTTCAACAAAGAAATTAACCACAATTCAGTTTCTGCTCACATTAAATGGAAATCACGAATCTGGTACATGTTAATAACCAAAATACAGACAGCTCATATCTACAGGTAGAACACAATAAACAGTACAGAGGGACATTGTTACTTTAACTCAGCTGTTTTCATGTGTTAACTTTTCTCAGCTCATAAGAATAAATGTACAGACTGGCCCTGCATCACACTGGTGATCCACGTGTAGCGGCTCAGAACCAAATCAAGTCCAGAGAACATTTCACACGTGCATCGTCTGACGTCTGTGAAGTCCATGATGTTCAGACTCGTCGCAGGTAGATGCAGAAACACCACAGAAGAAGAGGGGACCAGTCTCTGGGGGCGTCAGCTCATTTCCTTCGTCTGCTGGTTGACGAGCGACTTGGCGACTGTCGCCTGCCACTTCTACCAGGGAGGAGACAAAAGAGGAATTAATTCCTTCTGTCAGAAAAAGATTAAATTAAGACTTTTTCTAGACAAACTTAAATTATTATACAACAATACACAAATACATAGAACTTGTAAAAGTATTTTTTTACTGTAAGATATACATCTTGTCTACCTTGTTAAACATAAATACTGATACGCTTGCAAAACTCATAAAAGTCCTTTTCTATTGGTCAACTGATTCGTCTGCGAGGCTCTAATGTCAACACATCGTGTAAAACTCTGATTATCCTGAGAACAATGAGGAAATATCCCACATCAACTCCTCCACTCCCTTAAAGCTTCTTACTCATTCTTTTCGGGGGTTAACGTCTTGGCGTGTACAGACCTGCGGGACGGTGAGGACGGCGCCGCTCGGATGAATCTCGGAGGAGAATAACTGAGGGAGCGAGAATCTCTCAGTGAATCAGCCGGGATCCGCTGAGGCCTGACAGGACTGAGAGGGAAACAAGAGTTTGACACAAGGAAGAAATCTCAGGAGACTTTTCCAGTGGGTAAAAAATGACAGACATCTATTTGATGTTGTAAAGAGACAAACAGCTACTGCAGAGAGGAGACGGGACAGGAATGAATTTCCAGTTTGATGGTAGTGGAGGACAAGTGGAGGACAAGTGGAGGACAAGTGGAGGACAAGTGGAGGACCTGCCCTCCAGTGAATGAATCACTTATCGATAATGTAAAGGACAAATCTGTGACGGTTCTATCATTCTAAAACAGACAAATCTCTTTTTGTAAGTAAATAAACCTGAAACTTCTTCTTCTTCTTCTCTTACCTCTTGTTCTTTGTTTCCTTTTCATCGCCGGAGGAGGAGGAGGAGGAACTACTCGGAGCTTTGGTTGTTTTCCTGTTAGACAACATGATAAAAGGGTAAATCATCTTTAGAGCTTTTTATATGATCATAAAATAAAACATGTTATATTCTATGATTCAAGCTCATTCCCTGTCGCCTGCTCACCCTTTTCCTTGCTCCTCCTCAGAGTCAGAACTGTCTGAAGAGGAGGATGAAGACGAGGAGGAAGAGGAGGAGGAAGAAGACGAGCTGGAGCTGCTGCTTTTGTTGCTTTTCTTATTTGCATTTGTCTCCTTGCCGTTCACCGCGCTCTCTTTTCTGACCGTTTGGTCTGATGGTCGAGTGGCAGCCGGTGGCGACTGCTTCCTGGTCGGACCTGGTGTCGACCGCTTGGCGTCTGATTGGCTGCTGGCCGGAGACCTTCTGGAGGTCACGTCGGAGCGACGCGAGTCCGACTGGGAGCCTCCTCTACCTGAGGGTGGGGCGTGGGATGAGTCTCTGGAGGGACCCTGTGAAGAGGAAGAACGACTTTTCTGCTCTCTGTCCTCTTTCCTGTCATCCTCTCTTCTTCTGTCTTTCTCTGCTGATATTTTTGTGTCTTTACTCTCGCGAGGCGGTGAAGAAGACGAGGAAGAGGAGGAGCCAGAGGAAGATGAGGAGGAAGAGGACCTGCCAGACTGGGGAACATCTTTTGGCTGCACTTGCATCTTCTCTCTTTCTCTCTCTTGTTCCACCTCCCTCTGTCTAATCCGCTCGTTTTCTCTTTCTCTCCCTCGTTCCCTGGAGAGGGAGCGACTGCTCCTCCTCCGCCGCTGTGGTGAAGGAGAATGACGGGATCTGGAGGACGAAAATATGAAACAGTTGATTTTAAATCGATAAAACTTTATTGTCAATTAAGACATAAAAACCAAAAAGACACAAATATTTCACTTCACATCTACAAAACACAGTGAAGTGTTTTCATCAGTAAAAGAAACATTGAGCCTAAAGATTCTAAAAAACATGAACTAAATATTTCTCAGCTCTTCCAAGTATCTTGAACTACGAAAGAAGACACTCAAATATGAGATGAAGACTTCCTGTCTTGTCCATGTGTCTCCTCGTGGACACGCAGCATCACTTAAGAGTTTGTTTTGTTCAGAAATATCGCTCAGAATGGACCTGCAGGTCCCGGTCTTACCTGTTGGGGGGGCTGCGTCTCCTCTGGCTTCTGGATCTGCTCCGTCTTGCGGCCCGCTCACGTTCTCTGTCCTTCTCTCTCTCTCTGTCCCTCTCTCGCTCTCTGTCCCTCTCTCGCTCTCTGTCCCTCTGCCTCTCTCTCTCTCGGTCTGACCAGGCCGGAGGTGGGGAGGCTCTCCTGGATCGGGAAGGGGCCTCCTGGTACTGCCTTGGTGGAGTGCGACGGGCCGGGGAGGTGGTGGCTGTTTTCTTGGGCGGAGAGCGTGACCTCCTGGTTGGGGGGCTCAGTCTTGCGGCCCTTCTGGCTGTGCCCCTGTCCCTCCCTCTATCCCTTTCCCCCACTTTGGCCTCCAGCCTGTTTTTGTCGGCCTCGGCGTACCTGCTGCCCCTGCTGTGGTCCGCTCTGTTGGGTGGGGAGGGAGGTGGGCTGGGACTGTCCTCCTGTGTGGGGCTGTATCGCTCCTGACCTTTGGGCTGGGGCGGATAGTTGTCCGCAGGAGATCTGTGAGGAGGTCTTTCCCTCTCGCGTCTGTCTCCTCCATCTTGTCGTCTGAGGGTGTCGCCCTCAGAAGCAGAAGCAGAACTTTCTTTTCTTCCGTTGGTTAAATATCTATGAACTGCAGCTCCAATGGCAGCTGGGGCACTTTTCACGGGACTGGCCTTTTCCCTCCCCGCCGCCTTCTTCAGCTTGCCTTCATCCTCAGAGGAGGAGGAGGAGGAGGATGAAGATGAAGATGAGGAGCTGTCGCTGTCACTGCCACTGCTGCTGCTGCTGCTGCCACTACTGCTGCTGGAGCTCTCTTTTCTGTTCTCAGCCTGTTTTGCCTTGTCGTCTTGTTTCTCTTTTCTCGGCGGGCTCCTCGTCTTCTCCTGACGTTCGATGGCGTCTGCTTTTTCGCTCGTGTTTTTTTCCGCAGGTCTGAAATCTTGTCTGCTTCCTGCAGATGGTCGGACCACCTCCTCTCTTTTCCTGCCGTCTTCTTGGCCGCGCTCTCTGTCTTGTTCTCCCTGCTTGTTCAGATGCCTCTCCCTCTCCATGTCTTTTTCTCTTCTCCTCTCGCTCTCCCTCTCTTTTTGACCCCCACTGGAGACAGGTGAGCGAGAGGCGGGTGACACGGAATCGCGAGACGGATGTCCATCCCTTCTCCTGTCATGTTTCTGTTGGCGAGGAGACACCTCCCTCTCTTGTCTCCTCCCAGTGTCTTTCCTGTTGTCCCTTTCATTTGGAGCCCTCGGGTGTAAATCTCTCTCAGTCCTGCGCTCCCTCTCTCCACTCCTCTCCCTCCTCGCTCTCTCCTTCTCAGGAGGAGGTGAAGGAGACAAGGAGACATGTCTGGTCTTTTTGTCCAGTTTACTCCTGTCTTTTTCACGCTCAGTGTCTCTGCTCCTTCCACTTCTGGTCTCCTGTTTAGGTGGTGGAGAAGGAGATGAGGAGGAATCATGTTTGCTCCTCTGAGGAACACTCTCCTTTCCTTTGTTCTTTTCTCTGCTCCTTGACCTCCTGCCTTTCTCCACATCTCTGTTTCTCCCTTTCTCCACATCTCTGCTCCTGGACCTCCTCCCTTTCTCCACATCTCTGCTCCTGGACCTCCTCCCTTTCTCCACGTCTCTGCTCCTGGACCTCCTCCCTTTCTCCCTCTCATTTTCTCTGCTTCTTGACGTCCTCCCTTTCTCCCTCTCATTTTCTCTGCTTCTTGACGTCCTCCCTTTCTCCCTTTCATTCTCTCTCTCTTTGTCCATCTCTCTGCTTCTGGATCGCCTCCCTCTCTCTCTTTTTTCTATGCTCTTTGAGCGCCTCCTCCTCTGCATCTCTCTGCTTCTGGAGCGCCTCCCTTTCTCCCTTTCCCAGCTTTTATCAGCAGGTGGCGGTGGAGACGGGGACAAGGAGTCGTGTCTCCTCTTGGCGGAGGTCTTCTCCATCTCACTCGGTCGCTCTCGCTCAGGATTCGGCCTCTGGAGCAGAAAAGGTGTTGGTGTGAATTTTATGATCACAAAAGTAGAAGAGGAGAAACAAAGAGAAGCAGATCCCGACTTTACCGTTTCTCTTCCCTGACGATGTGGAAGCTCGTCGTGGCCCCGTCTCCTCCTGCCTGGAGATCTGTCCTGTCTTCCATCGTCATCTTTTCTTGCAGATTGTTCCGGTGGACGTGACCTCACTGGAGCTGGAGACTGACTGTTGACAGCACAAAGACAAATCCGTCAGATACCGATAAGAAGAATTATAATCAGTTTTAGCTCGATAAAAAAAAGGACCAGGGCTGACCACTCGCTAAAGGGCAAGGATTTCTGGAGTCTGTGAGGCGGGACATGACGCTTCTTTTTTTTCGTACCTGTGAGAAGAGTCGGAGGAAACACTACTGCCTCGCACCGCCTTTGTTTTTGCAGGACTGGAACTTTCACTCTTCTTTCCTTTCTTCTTTGACACCTTCTGTTTCTCCTCCGAGGAGCTTTGAGTGGGTGAGAAGTCAGATGTGAGGACGAGGCTGCACATAAACCCACTTTCATCAACATTTCGTATTTACAGCAAAACCTGCACCGGAACTGAAGGGAATTGAAATTCACCTACCTGTCTTCTTCACTCTCTTCTGACACCTCACTGAAAAACAAATAGTCCACTTATTAATCACTCTCCATGGAAAATCATTCAGTGGATCATAAAAGAATCTGGTGGTAAAATACCGCTTCTTCTTCTTCTTCCTAGATTTCTTCTTCTCTCTGCGAGGAGACGGGGACGGACTCTCTGAGCTGATGGGACAAGGAAAAAGGCAAACAGCCGTCAGACCTGCTTTTACGATCTTTATATTTTCTGTTCTTATCAAGTTCGTCTTCTCACCCGTCTCTGTTCTTGTTTTTCTTCTTCTTCTTCCGACTGCGCTTCTTGGGAGGAGAATCGGAGTCGTCTGAATCTTCCACCAACCTGAGAGATCGAGGGCAACAGACGTCGAAGTCAGGGACAGAGGTGATGGTGTCTTATCATGCTGCTGGTGAGATTTTAGCCCAGGAACTATAGACGGTGAACTTTATGATTTAGAGTCATACTCCAGAGAAGAACTGTGGTTTTGACAAACAACTGCAAACTCATTAAAACATAAAACACCCCAGATTCTTAACTCTTCATAAGTGAATTGAACTATGAACATTTTTCTAAATATAAATATTTCTTATTTTAGATTTTAACAGTATCATATAAAATTCTCTGACATTTAATTCAGCCACATTGTTCAACTGGATTAAAAAAAGGAATAGCTTAATATGCATAGCAGCACAGTGTTTATCCCACTCACGTATATTTCTGTTGCTGCAGCTTCTCTCGCTCCAGGCGGTCCTGTTCTCTCTTCTCCTTCTCTCTCTCTTTGCGGTCGGCATGGAAGGACGACCCATCCACGTAGTCGCTGGAGATACCAAACGCGGCACGGAGACGGTCGTTCTTCTGCTGGTTGGCTGCAGCCAGGGCATGAGTCTCCGTCGCCCTGAGAGATTGACAAGCCAAACAAGCTTTCTGTCACCAACACGGTGTCGTATAAACCAATGATGCTCTGAGCACTCTATTTAAAAAGTCAGAAAAACACTCATTCTTTTTAGTTTCTGCTTTCAATATGTACAGTCAGATTTTTTTTTACATCAACAACGCACAGCAGCTTTGAGTCTGAACAAGGCATTTTTAATGGAGCCAGGTTAAATTCAGGTTTTTGCTGTACTTACGTTGGTCTCTCGGTGGTGGCAGGAGCCGGCTCCTGTTTCTCCTGCAGCATCATTCGGAAACTGTTCACCTTCTCCTCTATCTCCTCAGCAGAGTACCTGGGCGTCCAATCAGTGATGAGGAGTTAACAATGTACAAAGCAGGATGTTTAATGATAACAACTCAGTCCAGGTTGGTGAGAACATGTGAATTTACCCTTGCTCCTCCATCATGTCCTGTAACTCAGCACACTTGACCTCCAGCTGCCTCTTCCGTTGGTGCTCCAGGATGTCAGCATTGGGCTGCCTGTTGAGCTGACTCTCCAGCCTCTCCCGGTCCTTCTCGTCACGATCACCACCGCGCTCATCCCGCGGTCGCTTAACGCGCAGGCTCGACAAGTTGCGCTGCACATAGCCATTGGTGCCACTGCCCCTCGGAGTCGTCAGGCCAATCCCATTGTACATGGCTCTGCAAAAACAAAACAGAGGTTCGGTTTGTTATCTCATGAGAAAGTCAACAAGCGTCATGTGTGTTGCATTGTTTCCATTTGGTTAGTTTTGGTTTCACATTGTATTTTAGGGAGCACAATGGTTCAGTTTGATCCAGACTGTGGTGCGTTGGTCTGAGGAACCTTTCACACCTGATATTTAGGTTCAGACTGAAGTGAAGAGTCTGAAGGTGTGAGAGCACAAACCGGCTCTATAACTCCTGAGTGCTGAAACCAAATTAGAAATAAAAAGCTAATGACAAATGATCAAAGAGCATTGATGAGATTTCTTCAATCTTCTTTTAACACTTGTCTATCTGGACTTGAACATCATGCACATCATCTTTCACATGAAGCTAAGATCACCTTTCCATGCATAACACTGCAAAACACTAATATATTGGCTAAGGCAGATTTTCAAGACATCTTTTCACAGACACATCTTTGAAATACAGAGAAAATATTGACTGAAAGTGAATGAATGTTAAAATAAATTATCAAATCAATCCTCTACAGTTTCTCACTTTATCTCTTGGAAGCCTTTTAATTTAAATACATTAGAAACAATAAAATACTTGGTACGTCAAAAACAGAACAACTAGCAACAACAGGACAAAACAGAATACACAGTTAGTATTTGAGATTTAAAAAGAGTGTAACATGTTTAAATGTGCAGAAGGAAACAGAGAGAAATACTTTGCTGATATAGTTAAATTATTTCCCACTCTCTCGGGTTTTCCTCCGTGTGAAGAGCAAATGTTCCGGTTGTTTTAAGTGTTAAGCTGAATTCTTGGGACTGAAAAGAATCGGAACATTTTAAAGTAGTGACGGGCTTCCTGCTCTAAAATGGCTGACATCAATAAAGTGGCAGATCATTGTCCTGACTTTATTGAGAGTCCTGGAGTTAATGAAGGAGGTGAGCCGAGGGTCGATGAATCTGAAATCACTGGGACATGAGGACGAGCTGCTGCAGGTGAGTCGGTCTTCTACTGACACCGGGTCACTTCAGTGTGGACCAGGTTTCTCTCAACGTCACGGAGAACTCGCGAACACCTGAACACTTCAGATCCTCCATTTTATTCTGCTTCACACCTGAACAGTGGGAGACATTAAAAACACTGCTGCCCACTGACACGTGCGCCAGAACACAAGGGGCCTGTTGCTCAGACTCTCTCATGGAGTCGATTAATGAAGTCTAGCGAAGTGACGCCGCAGTTTAATGACCAACCACACGAACTACACCGGGCAGAGCCGCTGCGAGCTGCTCCAGCACCGACACGACTCCAACACGTCGGTGGATTTAACGCATAAACTTACCGCGGGCCCGGACACGGACAACCCCACTCGAAGCTAGCGCGCTAGCTAGCTAGCTAGCTTACGCATTTGTTACGTACCAGGGTTTTCTCCGGAGAGAAAAGCGGCGTCGGGGGGAAACGTGCGGTGAATAAATCCCGTAGATCCAGACACCGGAACAGACTCTGTGATAACCGAGTCCTCGGAGCGGAGAAGAATAAAGAAACACGACTGGTTAGCTTCGAGCTAACGGCTCCGATCACCGAGCAGGGACGACGAGGAACCGAGTGACGTCATACGCACACGACGTGGGTCTAACCTTAGTTGCGTTCAAATAAAATCTGTACAAGTAGCTTCGCGTTGTGTATTTGGGTGAAAAACTGATATTAACAAGACGTGTAAGTATTTAGTAATAGTATTAGTATAAGTAAACACTGCATGTGTTATATTTATAGTCTTTCTACTTCATTATGGGCCAAGAAACAGAAGAGGAAAACTACCTACACTGTGGAGGGAACACTGTTTAAAACTAACACTAAAACTGATCTTTCAATTATATTTTTAATCCTGCGATGAAAAAAAATGAATAAAACAAATATAATGTTGAAATTCATAAAGTTTAAAAAAGTAATACATTCAAAAAGGTTTTAAATGAGTGATTCATAAAAGTAGTAACTTCAAAATACACAACACTGACAGACACACGGTTCACTTCATGAGTCACACAAACGCCTCACAGTGGCCAATTAAATCTTTAGATGGATGAACTGATGACAGAGAGAGAGAGAGAGAGAGATGGAATGATAGAGAGAGAGAGAGAGAGATGGAAAGAGAGAGAGAGAGAGATATGGAATGATAGAGAGAGAGATGGAATGATAGATAGATAGAGAGAGAGATGGAAAGAGAGA